CCTCTTTTAACCTAGCCGCATCCTTGTTGTATTTCTTTGGGTTATCCCATATCTGCTTCCAGAACTGCACGGTTTCTTCCTTGTCAGGTACTGACTGATTCTTTGCAGTTTCTCCATTGATGGATTGGTAGAAACGTTTCTGATTGGATTGAAATTGGAGGTTCTGCCTATAGTTTGCAATTCGAGCTTCAGATCTACTGATTTTCCTGGCTATAGCTGTTATTTGTTGCTTTATTATTTCCAGTGCTTCCTTGATCTTCCTTGTTTCTAAGTGGTATTTCTTGATTAGTCTTCTTTGGTCTTCTTGTTCTTCAGCTTCTTTTCTTTCATCTGTTCTAGCTTGCTTGCATGTGATCTTAACTTGCTGATCTTATTTTCTAGTCTAACCTTCCATTTTTCTGGTGCACTGTTTGTTTGTTTTTCTTCTTTGTTGATTTTGCATCCCATGTATTCTGTTATAACTGCAGCTGTGCTGTACATTAGTTGGTTTGTTTCTTGCAATGAATTGGTGCTTATACTTGATATTGCAATATTTGCATCTTTTAATGCTTGTGCTAGCTGTTTCTTTGGAACAAGCTTCCATGCAGGTAGCCTTATTCTGTTGTTTTTGTGCTGTTCTAGATGCTCAGTTATTCTTTGTTTCAATTCTTTTATTTCTTTAGTTAGAGGGTTTGTTCTTCCTGAGGTAGAGGTGCCTGGTTTCCAAATGAGAACAGTTGTATATCTCTGCTAGATTCCTTCACTGCCAACTCCCCCTGGTTTGCCTCTACATTCTGAATTACTTCTGGTAAGGCTTTGATTTCTTTGCCCTGGGTAAACCTTTGCAGTTCGTCCAATTCTGTTTCTGTGAATACTTTTTTCATGTTATAAATCGGCGTTGATCTGCTAGTCTCTGTTCTGTTATTTCTGATTCTGGATGTTGTTCTTTCCAGAACTGGTGCATTCGTTTTAGATATCCTCTTCTTGTTGGACTTGATCTGTAGTAACAGATCATTATTTCTTTGTTTTCCATCACTGTGTATCTGCGACGGGTAAACACCTTTTCTTCCAGTAGTTCTGCAGCTGCTGGCCCTGGTTGCTCAGCCAACAGTCCTGAGTCCTGTAACCCATTTTTCACCAGATATCCAGGAACTCCAATATCTAGTGCGGACCTTGTTAACCCGGGCGACGTCCGAGCCGGTATGGCATTCTGAATTTACGTCTCACCATATTTTTTATGGGAGAGACACTCTTTGTCTGACTCCTCTGATGAGACCTGTCCAGTATGGTTGAACCTCTAGCATAGCTCTCATCTTCCTCAGAGTACACAAGCCCCACAACCACGTCAAGGTAGTGCCTCACTGGGGGTTTATTATTATTATTATTATTATTATTATTATTATTATTATTATTATTATTATTATTATTATTATTATTTCCTGCTGCTTCTAAAGGTATTATGCATGTGGAAACTCCAGCAGATGTTCTCTTCATTGATGGTGACACTTGATAAAATGTCCATCTCAACCCTGAAGGTTTTGAGGACCGTCTCTTTGGGTGGGTTCATCATCATCATCATCATCAAGTTGGAAGGGACCTTGGAGGTCATCTAGTCCAACCCTCTGCTCAGGCAGGAAACTCTATACCATTTCAGACAAATGGCTGTCCAGTCTCTTCTTAAAAGTGTCCAGTGTTGGAGCATTCACCGCTTCTGGAGGCAGGTAGTTCCGCTGGTTAATTGTTCTCAATGTCAGGAAGTTTCTCCGTAGTTCTAGGTTGCTTCTCTCCTTGGTTAGTTTCCATCCGTTGCTTCTTGTCCTGCCTTCAGGTGCTTTGGAGAAGAGCTTGACTCCCTCTTCTTTGGGACAGCCCCTGAGAGATTGGAAGACTGCTATCATGTCCCCCCTCGTCCTTCTTTTCGTTAGACTAGACCAGGGGTGTCAAACTCAATTTCATTGAGGGCCACATCAGCATTGTGGTTGGGGAGGGGGCGGGTGGGTGTGGCCTACTGGGTGGGCATAGATGGAGTGGGTGTGGCCCACTGGGTGGGTGTGGCCAGCTCTACATCGTTCGCGTCAAGGGTGCCTGTGGGGGCCTGGGCAGGAGTGGGACAGATTTGAGGGTCTGGCAGAAGGGACCAAAGCATGGTCCACTGGAGGAGCCTCACTGCCTGCCGAACCCTCTGCCGGAGCCCATCAAGCCGGATATGTGAAGTAGGTGAGGGCCATTTGCTGGCCACTTCCAGGCCATGGTGCATTTCTTCATTCCTCACAAAGGGTGACCCCTCCCCAGCATGCACCCAGGGGGTGGAGCTGATGCGGCAGGGGCTGGTTTTTCCTCACTGTTTCCAGACGGCCTTGTGGAGCTAAGACTGAATGCGTTTCAGCATAGATGGCCACCACAAAATTGTACATTGGCTCCCGTCCGGCCTGGGTCAGGGCCAAGGCAGCGGGGGCCGTTCCCTCACTGTTTCCAGGATGGCTTCGCAGGCCACATGAAACCCCTTCGCGGGCTGCATCCAGCCCCCAGGCCTTGTGTTTGACATGTCTGGACTAGACATACCCAATTCCAGCAATTGTTCCTTATATGTTTTAGCCTCCACAGACATTCCTGATGTGTTGATAAGATTCTTGCTGGAGCTACAGTAAACACAAACCTCTCGGTGTTGGTGATCCTTAACGGCACCTGAACTCATATTCCAAGATGTGAAGAACACGGACTTGAAGTATAAAAATCGGATCAGGAGCCGTCTCTCCAACCTCAAGGACTCCAAGAATCCCGACCTCCGAAAGAATGTCTTGTGTGGAGTGATCACCCCCGAACAAATTGCAGTGATGACCTCAGAGGTGAGGGGGGGGAGGCTAAAACAGTGGTTCTCAACCTGTGGTCTAGGGACCTCTGGGGGGGGGGGTGGGACATCTGCGTGTCACGGGGGGGGGGCTGCAAAGGCTTTGAAGAAATGTTAAGCTTTAAATCCTCATTTAAGTCTTGGGGGTCCGTGGCCACAAAAGGTTATTGCAAGGGGGCCCACCGTAAAGAAAAGATTGAGAACCACTGGTTTAAAACATCTGTATTGGATCCATTTGATCTATTGCTGGGCTACTACAGTCCTCAGTAGTTTCCACTGAGAAGCAAACGTACAGGTAGTCCTTGATTTACAACCACAGCAGAGTCCAAAATGCCTGTTGCTAAGCGGGACTGTTAAGTGAATTTTTGTCCCATTTTATGACTTTTCTTGTCACATGCGTTAAGCAAAACACTGCAGTGGTTCAGTTAGTAACACGGTTGAATGTGCTCAATGTATTTTGACATTCTTTGGTACTCAAGCCACAAACTATAGTAGTGGCCAAAATTGTGGAAACCTTTTGGGAAAAGTGTACAGTAGAAATAAGATAAGATAAGATAAGATAAGATAACCTTTATTGTCATTTTTATATTCATTTAAAAATGAAATTTAGTTGCTTGCTCTCAAAGTGTACACATCATAACGCACATTTAAGCATACTATATACAACATATGTATAGACTTACACCCTTACTTATAAGTAACATACAACTATTAATCACTGTCCATCTTGAATACATAACGGAAGGAGGAAGCTTCAGAGTTCATAAGGTGGATACTGTATGGAACGAAACTCTGGCTGAATCTGGATTTCTGCTTCGGATACCACGAAGCCCCCTCCTCCCAGAAGATAACAAGGAAAACAGGTCGTGAAGAGGATGTGTAGTGTCCCAGATAATCTTACGGACCCTGCTCAAGCAGCGCTTCTGTGCTATGTCCTGGATGGAAGGGAGGGAACAGCCAATGATCTTTTCTGCTGTCCTCACCACTCTCTGCACCGCCTTCCTGTCTGAAGCAGTGATGCCTCCAAACCAGACTGTGATGCTGTATGACAGGATGCTCTCGATTGTCCCCTGTAGAAAGTGGTCAGACAAGGGAAGGAAGATGTGCTTTTTTCATGCGGCGCAGAAAATGCAGGTGCTGCTGTGCTCGCTTCACTGTTGAGCAACCAATCAGCCTACTCGTTAGCTGCACACCCAGGAATTTGATGCTGGTAACCATCTCCACAGGTGAATCATTAATGCACAGAGAAGGGTGGCTGTGCCTGCCTTTTCTGAAATCAACAATGATGTTGTTTTTTTTCCAGTATTTAGAACTAGGCTGTTTTCCTTACACCAGTTCACCAACCCTTCAACCTCCTTGCGGTAAGCTTCCACCTTGTCATCCTGAATAAGGCCCACTACTGTTGTATCATCTGCAAACTTCACAATATGGTTGGTGGCAAACCTAGCACAACAATCATGGGTCAACAGGGTGAACAGCAGCGGACTTAAGACACAGCCCTGAGGAGAACCTGTGTTCAAGAAAATGGTATTAGAGGTATTAAATGCCACCTTTGGTTAAGTTTCCACCCATTTTTCTTCTAATTTCTTTATAACTGTAGCCTTGTTCACTTAATAATTCTATTTTACATTGCTTTCTGGGCGACCAGTCAACTCTTTGCACCATTACTTTAATTTTATTACGTTTTACAAGCTCACTAAATGAAAGAACACAAAAACCCCAACCAACTTGACAGCGATCACATAACACACTGACAAATGTCCGCCTCTCAGCTTCAATACATGACATCAATAACTGAATCCTACTGTGATCTGATTGGCTTATTGCCAAAACAAGATGACCCCCGATTGGCTCTCCAAACGCTCATGCTCATTGGCTACAATCAGGTAAAGGAAAGCTACCTGATCTCAACCTAAGCAAGTTGTGCTTCCTTTTTCTGGTTATTTGGCTATAACTTTTCATAGAACACAGTACAGATAATTGAACACACTATGTTGCATTACATTCATGATTAAATTATCTTTCCATTGATATATAATTTTATGGTACTACTCCCAAAAAAAGGTATTAGCCATCAGACCTCAAAAATACACTTTTCCCAAAAGGTTTCCACAATTTTGGCCACTACGTTAGAACTTGTCGCTGTCGGCTGCCTTGTGACTCGCTTTATTATTCCCTTAAGGCAGGGGTCCTCAACCTTGGCCACTTTAAGACTTGTGGACCAGAATTCCTCAGCCAGGAATTCTGGGAGTTGAAGTCCACAAGTCTTAAAGTGGCCACGGTTGAGGACCCCTGCCTTAAGGGAATAATAAGTGCCAGTTATTGGTTTTTTTTGTCCCCATAGACCTTTAGCTATGCACTTTGGGATGAAGAGCCTTCAATGTTTAAAATGTTTCTGTGTTCTACCTTCAAAGGCGGCTGTCCCGTTTGCCTGCTGGGTACTGAAGTGACCCTTTGCGTTCTTTCCTGGACAGGAAATGGCCAGCAATGAACTGAAAGAGATCCGCAAAGCCATGACTAAGGAAGCCATCCGGGAGCATCAGATGGCCAAAACTGGAGGGACCCAGACAGACCTTTTCACTTGTGGCAAGTGCAAGAAAAAGAACTGCACCTACACTCAGGTGAGATTTCACGGGTTTTCTTGATCATGTTTCAAAGTGCTCAAAATCTCCCTTTCCTCCAGAGGGAACCTGGTGTTGTGATTCCTCGCCAGCCAGTGGATCCGGCAGCTGAGTCTGAGGAATCAGAGGAGGAGGAGGAGGAGGGGCCTGGAGTGACATCAGAGTTAGAGGAAGGCTCTGAGGAGCTCCAAGACTTATAGTCAGACGAGGAGCCTGGCCCCTCTACTCATGCTCAGGCTGAGACACAGCTGTGCTGGGAGCCTGAGTTGGACAGTGATGAAGAACAGCTGGAACAAATCCCAGATGCACGAAAGCACAGGCTAGAGAAGCGAGTAGGACAGAGGAATGCAATGGGGCAGCTCCAAAGGCAAAGGAGAAGGCATTAGGAAGCCACGCCTGGGCTGAATAATAACAGGGAAGGTGTGGGAGGTGCTGGTTGCCGAAGGCAATCTATTCATGTTGAGGATCGAGTTTCTGTGAACTGTGTTTGTTTGCCTTGGACATTGACTCGGGTCTGTGAGAATAAAAGGGGTTGGTTTTTTGTTAAGCGACTTTTGCCCTGTTTTACGGCCTTTCTGGCCACAGTTGTTAAGTGGATCACTGCAATTGTTAAGTTAGTGACACGGTTTTAGCCTATGAGTGAATTTAGAGTATTATTATGATATTATTATTTTTAGTATTAGTATTGTTTAACAATTTGGAGATTGTATTGTTTAATAATTAGGATATCAACTTGTTTATGTTTTTATTATTATTATGTTTATTTTCAATTTGTTTATATTTATGTTAAAGGGGAGTTAAAGCGCATTATGGACTTGGTTATTTATATAGTTGGTTAATGTTAGTTAGATTATGATTATCATATTTGTAACCCTGTACTCAGCTCTGGGAAGTGGGGGAGGGAGAGGGGGGGGTTTGGGTGGGTTGATTTTGGTTTATATTGTAATTTTTATAAAACTTTTTAATAATAATAATGAAAAAAGTTAGTGACATGGTTGTTCAGTCAATCCCACTACCCCCTTGACTTTGCTTGTCAGGGGCGTCACAAAAAGAGAATCGCATGATCCCGGGGCACAGCAACTGTCGTAAATACACGCCAGTGGCCGAGCATCTGAATTTTGATCACGTGACCATGGGGGGGGGGTTGCAAGGGCCGTAAGCATGGAAAATGGTCATAAGTCACTTTTTTCCAGTGCCGTTGTAACTTCAAATGGTCACTAAGTTGAGGACTACCTAGAGCTAAAGATGTGACATTAAAAGGCAGTTGGGGGGGGGGAGAGCTTTTAGGGTGCTATGCACCCCCAAGGTTTCATACTAGTCTGTGAGCCCCAAGTCTTGAGATATTTTGGAAAGACTAGGAAAGTGGGCGGCTGATTCCCCTCTGGGGGGGAGAGCATTCCACGGGATGGGGGGGCAACAGCAGACAAGGTCTCTTGCTGGACTCCGGATTCTCTTTTTAACTTGCAAATTGTGCTGATGTGATTGTGGGGCACTGCAAACAGAGATCAATGCCGGCCAGTTGCCCAGGGCCCGAAATGTGATCATATGACTGTGGGATGGAGGAGGTGGCGACCTTTTTAGACCTTTAAATCCAAATCATAGGTACCTTTTGGAAGGGGGGGGAGTCTATTGTAACTTTGAGTGGTTTGCTAAGTAACTGGTTGTTAAGTGAGGATTGACACTTTGGGAAATATAATAATAATAATAATAATAATAATAATAATAGATAAGATGAGATGAGATAAGATGAGGTGAGATGAGATAAGATAATCTTTATTGCCATTTTTTTACTGTGGGCACAACGGCACATAAAAATGAAATTTAGTTTAATAATAATAATAGTAATAATAATATAATAATAATAATAGATAAGATAAAATAAGATGATAAGATAAGATAAGATAATCTTTATTGCCATTTTTTTACTGTGGGCACAATGGCACATAAAAATGAAATTTAGTTTAATAATAATAATAATAATAATAATAATAATAATCCCCCAGTGAGGCACTACCTTGACGTGGTTGTGGGGCTTGTGTACTCTGAGGAAGATGAGAGCTATGCCAGAGGTTCAACCATACTGGACAGGTCTCATCAGAGGAGTCAGACAAAGAGTGTCTCTCCCATAAAAAATATGGTGAGACGTAAATTTCAGAATGCCATACCGGCTCGGACGTCGCCCGGGTTAACAAGGTCCGCACTAGATATTGGAGTTCCTGGATATCTGGTGAAAAATGGACCCACCCCACTTTGCATCTTAAGAAGACAGAACTCTTGGAATAATTCTTCCAACAGGAATCCTTTATTAAGAGAAAATGGTTGCAGGCATGCTAGACAGGACTTGGGGTCCAAGCTCTCCCATTCAAGGTTTTAAGGGGTTCCCCAGTAGTCCCACCCAATCAACCCCCCTTCCAGTGATAGTTTCAAGTATCACAATTCCACCCCGTTTCTTCTTTCTTCCGTCTGGATGGAGACTTCAGATAACTACATGAAAGGCAAATACTCTTCTTTGTTAATGCTAATGTTCTCTGGATGCTAACGCTTTGAGGTTACAATAGGTTACAATAAACACACATTCAGCATTCAGCTCTTTGAAGTCTACTGAAGGAAGTGAGGGCCATAAAGCCCCTTTGTTCTCCCCCTTCTCTCCCTCTTATGGCAGAATCCAAAGAAGGCAGAATTGGGAGTTTCTATATTTGATCATTAAAGATGAAATATGATTGGATTCTGACATCCGGCCCCTCTTAACAATAAGAGAGATCCACCTGAAAGAAAACACAAGTAAAAAATTTAGTTAGGCTTGTTAGGATACTCTGTGTGAAACTTCTTCAATAGCTTCGGGGCTCTGACGTGACGTTTATGGACCCACTCATTTTGTGAGGCAGGGAGGTGTTTCCAGGCAACTAGGTACTGAGTTGTTCCATGATATCTCCTAGAGTCAAGGATCTCTTTTATTTCGAAGTGTTGTTCCCCCTCCACCATGATTGGAGGTGGTGGGGGGGGGATTTTTGGCCGTAGAGGTGACTGATGCTCTCTTTTCAGCAAGCTGCAATGAAAAATTGGGTGTATTTGCCTGAGGTTTTTGGGTAATTCTAATTCTACTGTTACTGGATTTATGATTCTTTTAATTGGAAAAGGTCCTATATATTTTGGTCCAAGTTTTTTACAGGGCTGTAGGGACTTTAGGTATTTTGTAGATAAGTACACCATTTCTCCTATAATGAATGGTGTAGGCTCAACCCTTTTTTTTATCGGCTTGTGCTTTGTATGCCCGCCTAGCTTCATCTAGTGATTTTCTGACTATTGGCCAGGTGTTTTGTAGGTTTTCCATCCATTCTTTCAGTGAAGGGATCGTTGGTTCTTTTGGGGTTAACTCTGGCATAGGGTTGAAACTTTGGCCGTTGGCTATTTGAAAAGAGTGTAGCCTGTGCTGGAGTGGACTGCATTATTGTAGGCAACTTCTGCAAAAGGAAGTAAGTCCGTCCAATCACTCTGTTGGAAATTTAAAAAACATCTCAAATATTGCTCAAGTACCGACTGGCACCGTTCCGCTTGACCATCTCCTTGAGGGTGGTGGCTAGATGTCAATCCCTGAGTGGTCCCTAAAGGGATAAAAATTCCTTCCAAAATGCAGACGTAAATTGCACTCCCCTATCAGAGATGATGCGTTGGGGTGCCCCGTGCAATCTGTAAATGTGCTGGATGAAAAGTTTTGCTAAGGCCTTTGCAGTGGGAATTTTTTGGCAAGGGATAAAGTGCACCTGTTTGGAAAATAGGTCCGTGACTGTCCAGATAACAGTATTCCCATTGCTTTCAGGCAATTCCACTATAAAATCCATGGCTATTTCCCTCCAGGGGGCTGAGGGACTTGCCACTGGTTGTAACAGCCCTGGCGATTTCCCTTGCAACCTCTTTGCTGATGCACAGGTTGGGCAGCTGGCAACATAACTTTCTATGTCCTTTTTTATTGATGGCCACCAAAATTGCCGTTTAATTAAGTGTAAAGTTTTTACAAATCCAAAATGCCCTGCTGATTTTGTGTCATGGCAAAGTTGCATGAAAGTTAGTCTTTGAGTTGTTGGTATATATAACTTTTCCCCTACCCAAGGCAATCCGTCTCTCATTGTGCACACATGTTTGTTTTTCTGGAACCAATCATCTGTTTCCAAACTTTTTCTGAATTCAATCCCAGTTTGGCTGTCCAGTTGTGGTTTTATTTTGGCTTGGGTTCTTGTGGTTACTGGCGCTGCCAGTTGTGACTCTGCCATTATTGGTCTAGAGTCTGTGGTTCGTGCGCTGTTATATTGGGGCATGCGAGATAGTGCATCTGCCAGGAAGTTCTTTCTTCCTGGTAAATGTTTGAGCTTAAATTGGAATTGGTGAAAATGCTGGACCAGCGGGCTTGTTTGGGATTGAGTTTCCTGGAAGTTTTCAGGGCTTCTAAATTTTTGTGATCAGTCCACACCTGGAAGGGGATTTTGTTGCCTTCCAGGAACTGTCGCCACGTGAGTAATGCCCAACGTATCCCATAAGCCTCCTTCTCCCATACGGGCCAGCGCTGTTCTGTTTCCGTGAGTTTCTTAGATGTATATGCACAGGGTTGCAATACTGCATCATCATTTTCTGTAATAGCACAGCCCCCACTGCCACATCACTTGCATCTGCCTGTATTATGAAGGGTTTGTCCATGTCTGGGTGCCTTAGTACTGGTTCGGCAGAAAAAAGTCTCTTTAGTCTCTCAAACGCTGCTTGGCACTCCATTGTCCATGTTAGTGGCTGGCTAGGTTTTACTGAGGATGTTCCCTTCGTTTTTAGTAAGTTGGTGAGGGGCAAGGCTATCTGTGCAAATGAGGGGATGAATTGGCGGTAAAAATTTGCAAAGCCCAGGAAACTTTGTAGTTGCTTTCTTGTGCGGGGTGGTGCCCATTCTAATACTGCTCTGACCTTCTCTGGGTCCATTTCAATGCCCTGTGGTGATATGCGATAGCCTAGGTAGTCTATCCTTTCCTGGTGGAATTCGCATT